AACCTCCTCTGACAGTGACTGTAACTGCATTAATAATCACAGTAGGTGTCGGAATGCATATCAAGCATATGCTGTAGCAATAATATCAATCTGTTCTTGTGATTATATTGTGTCATTTTCAGGCTCGAGTGAATGTTGTTACAAGCCTCCGTCTTTAATTAATGTTCATATGTTGGGCTATGTATGCATAATTTGTTTAGTTCAAGAGCATGCACAATGGTATATTTGTTGGAATACTTTATAATGTGAGATGTACATTATATAAAATAAATGTCAGAATATTTTATTTTTAAGTTTCATATATGTAAACTGCAAGAAGAAGATACTCTATTTCTATTCTGAACTGGTGATTCAATAAGGACATCCCAATTTGATTCAAATTTTCAAGTTGATTCAAAACATTATTTTTGATTGAAAACTCAAATTCAGAATTCTAAAATCAAGATGCTGGGCATTGTTTTGGTAGGTGTCTACTATGTAATGTATTGAAAATATTCCCATCATTCTAGCCTCTCAATAACATTTCCATTTCACATATCACCCTTTTTTGATGTGCTGTAGGCCAATGTCTATTGAAATCTAGGTTGAAATTAATTAGGTTTCAAGACCTAACACTTCAGTGAGGTACTCAGGCCACACAGGATTTGAATTTCCAAAAGCGAAAAGATATTGCTGATTCAAGCTGTTGTTTAAATGATACTTCTGAGTATGTATGGAGATATGACACTTTTGGGGTTAGCTTTGTGCTTAGCCTCCTAACAGTCCTTGCTGAAAATCTAAAAGTAATGAGAAGGAAGGGCCAGACAACTTGGAAATTGCATGAAAATGGTATTTCCAAATAAGAACCTCTGCAATGAAAACAGAAAATGCTGGTAATTTTAACAGGTTAGGCAACATCAGTATAAAAAGAAACAATTCAAGTTTCAGTTAGATGGTCCTTTATTAGAAATTAAAAATGTTTGTATTAAATGATTTAACTGTTTGTTTTCCGTAGTATTTCTTATAAAATGCTTAAATGTATTTTCAAAAATATTAAGATTATTAATTTAGCAAGAGGTAGGATGAATGGTTAGGGAAATCCTCCAGAAGTAAATATCTGAGAGTAAAAGCAAGACAGTGATCTAATCAGATAGCACCATCAAATATGAGAAGGTTGCTTGAGCAGTTTACTGTAATCATCAGAGCTAATAAACTAAAAGGTTTTAGATTAAAGATTATGGACTTGAAATCACCTGAGCGATCAGTTTTACTTTTATAATTTGTTAAAACTTAATGTTATGGTACTTGTTGTAGAGACCTCCATGGAGAAATGGCTGCCCATAGAGAAATGGAACATGATGTCATTCATTCATTCATAAAATTTACAGTAATAGCATAGCTTTAACACATAATAGTCCTATCGATGGATTAGTAATCAAATGGAATACGATAGTTTGAGAATTTAAATTTAGTTTTTAAAAATCTGCAAATAAACAAAAAACTAGTCTGAGTGAAATTAAAAATACAGCTGTCAGATGTCACTAAAAACCAATCACACTGAAATCAGAGAAAGACTTCAATTTACATACTGTGCATTAGAAACTCAGAACGTCCCATCATTCTGTCAAACCAGTGTAATCCTATTAAAATTTGGTCACTATTGGAATAAAGAAAAGGCTTCTGCTAATTTGCCTACAGCAAAGTCCCACAAACACCACTGTGAGAATTAGCAGATAATCTGAGGGATATTGATTGATGGATAAATATTATTCAGGACACTGTTATACATGTACCTCATCTTTAAAAGAGTTCACTTTTAAGTGTTTAATGTCCTTTGTGCACACAATATTGTGACCCTGCCTTCTAGTTAGTCTGCAAGCTGCATACACACAGAAATCAATTGGTTTGCTGTAATGTCTGCTTCATACCTTGTAAAATGTTTCACTGATTTAAATAAACTAATCCATAGAGTTAATCAATTTCTGATGAGCAGCTGATCATTAAAACCATGATGTGGAGGTGCCGGTATTGGACTGGGGTGGACAAGGTCAGAAACCACACAACACCAGGTCATAGTCCAACAGGTTTATTTGAAAACCCAAGCTTTCGGTGTCTTACTGTACCTACTAACACCTGAAGAAGGAGTAAAACTCCAAAAGCTTGTGTTTTCAAATAAACCTGTTGGACTTTAACTTGATGTTGTGTGATTTCTGATCATTAGAACGTTATCATTAACGTCACATGGTGATCATTGGTGGAAAACTTTGTGCTGATGCGGCCTTTTGCATTTGAACAGTCAGTAAGTGAGTGAATCTACAATAAAACAGATGGTTGAGGGCATTAAACCATGTTAGCATGCATGAGAAAACCCTTAATGTTATTGTTTGTTACAATGCCGGAGAGTGTTGGAATCCTAACCTTCTGGTAAGAAGACGAATCACTATCAAGAGACCAATTTAATGTACTTGAGAACGACAAGTGATCGGGATGTGCCCAGACTGAGATCAAGCAAAGGAAAATCAAAGGTGTTGCCTCGGAATGTTCACACTGGGACACACCACTCTTCCTAACAGAATTTAAAATGTTTAAATAATGTTTATAAATGTTATGGTTTCCAGATTTGGGTCAGTCCAGTGCAGTAAAGCAATATTAAGATTTGCTTATAAATTGGGAGTGAACATCTACACAGGCTTAAGAGATCAGGATTACTAACTGATGAACTAAATATCCCCAAAAGCTGTAGAATTACAGATTAGAGCATGGAACGAGGCCACGTAGTCTGACTTGTCTGTGCTGACTCTCTGCAGGAGCAATTTACTTTGTCTCACATTCTTGGCTTTTCCCTTTAGTTCTGTATATTTTTCTCCGCTTTCTCTCTCCTTTTTCAATCCTTTCTAGACATTCAGATGATGAAATACTTGTATCATTCCATTTCATAGAATCATGCTCACATTATGTTGTGCTCTTTAAGTTGAATTTGTATTTAGAATGCATTTATTTTATTCCTTCATATTCATAGAGATGTACAGAATGGAAACAGAGCCTTCGGTCCAACTTGTCCATGCCGACCAGATATCCTAAATTAATCTAGCCCCATTTGCCAGCGTTTGGCCCATATCCCTCTTCCTATTCATGTACGCATCCAGATGCCTTTTAAATGTTGTAATTGTACCATCCTCCACTACTTCCTCTGGCATCTCATTCCATTTACACACCACCCTCTGTGTCAAAAAGTTGTTCCTTAGGTCCCTTACAAATCTTTCCCCTCTCACCTTAAGTCTATGCCCTCTAGTTTTGGACTCCCTTACCCTGGGAAAAAGACCTTGGCTATTCACGCTACCCATGCCCCTCATGATTTCATAAACCTCTATAAGGTCACCCCTCAGCCTCTGACACTCCAGGGAAAATAGTCCCAGCCTGTTCAGCCTCTCCCTATAGCTTAAATCCTCCAACCCTGGCAACATCCTTGTAAATCTTCTCTGAACCCTTTCAAGTTTATCAGCCTCTTTCCTATAGCAGGGAGAACAGAATTGAACGCAGTATTCCAAAAGCAACCTCCCAACTCCTATACTCATGGGTCTCTCAGATTAAAGTTCCATATTAATCAACTAGGATTCATGCCATTTAGACATAACCCTACAGAATCCATAGACCATTTTATGAGCAGGTACAGAGAATAGTGCTTATTGTGATTTTTCTGATGGGGAGTTAGAAAATAGCATTGAGATGTTGACTGCATCCATCCCCATAGATGTTTTCCAGAAGAATTTGCTAGGCAAACCAAAGACATCTGGCAATGAAGAGCTACTCAAGAGTGGATGAAAGTATGATATGGTCGTCACAGGTCAAAGAAGCTGGATGAATTCAATGCATCAGCTGCCCCAGAGAGTAAACCTGATGGGTTGTTAAGATGCTTCAATTGTTGTTAATAGCATCCTTATAAAATTTATTTAGTCACTAAACCAGGCAGCATTAATGTGTGTTACCATATTTTTGTCACATTTTGAAATGGAGATTGCCCAAACTGGTGGTTCATGTTTTATATTCGGCATGAAGGTTAGTTCCCATGTTTGGAGTGGTTTATGCAGGCTTCAAAGATCAACTTATACAGTGTCTTTTATAGTATAGAGGAAGTGTTTAACTTTTTGAATAAACGATTTGGCATCAGAATGAAAAATCAGACCCTTTCTGCCAATGAGAAACAGCAATTAAAGTATCAAGCCTCATGTTGAACTGTTTTTACATCAATGATTCATTGGTATTGAACAACTATTAAAGAGACACTATCTGGTGATTTGTCACATCCTTCACTAATCAATAATGTATTGATGATCTTAAGGCTGCATGCACTTCCTTTGTCAATTTCTTCCATTATAAATTCCAATGACATGTTTTATATAGGAAAATATTTAGCTCAGCTTGTCACACTTTAATTGCACCCTTGTGCTCAGCGAAATAGTGCAGTCTAATCACTTGGTGGGAGAGACAAATTAGGGGTCAGATATAAGTAGGCAGATTCCCTTATAAATACAGACATAAGAATTTAATAAAGCACAGGTGAAATTTTGTGTGTGTGAAATTTTGAAATGGAACCCAAATTGAGGCATGATGAGGCATTATATAAAAGTATTTGTTCTAGTTTTAAGGAAAATTGTTTACATCAAATATCCAATGTTATCTGAAGTCTGTTAACATCAAACTGTTCAATAATCCTTTGGATGATTATTTACCAATAAAACAGTCTACTATAACTGTAAAATTTCTGATTTAGAAAAGCCATATAATAGAGCCAATTAACCTGGTCTAGCACAGTAGAAGTAAGGATGAAATCTTTTAGCACAGACTTGATGTACTCATACAGGCAGAAGCTACGTTTTTGTTCTTTTGTTGATTGGAACTCTGTTAATACATTTATTTTACTGCATTGTGTTTATTTTATTATTCTAGAATGTGAATCACATGTGCTTTTATTTTACTTCTTCAGTTCTACTTTTTACTTTATTTACCTCCATTGTCACTAGGTTACAGTACGGCATGGAAACGGCCAATCAGCTCGCTGATGAGCACGATCTGATAGCAGTCTATGTGAGCCGACTGCAGAATGACACACGGTCAGTTTTTGTTGAGTTCCACATAGAGCTATACTTGGGAAATAAATCTTTGAATGCTTTTAAAACATTATCTGTCCTTTTGGAATGATTGGAATGCCATAATCAAGGTGGGGAGGGTGGGATTGGCCTTGAAAGTTCTGGGGAGTATTCTATTCCTGATTAAGAATTCACAGTGTGCTAGTGCCTCTCCTTCACAGACCAAAGGAAGTTAGTGTTAACTCCTAATGACTTCTTACTTTCTTTTTTGTTTTGGTGCATATGCAAAGTACTGCTTGATAATTCCAATCAGGACAAAAGTTTGACATTTGAGTGCAGTCGTTCCAAGTGCACAAGGCCTTGATGTTTGGTTACATTGCTCTAGAATATATGCCTGTCAATTGCAATACTTATTAATCAGGCTGGTGAGCTTCTATGAGCAGAGCCCTATTGTTGTCCATCACTGAGCAGGACATTCACACATTATTCTTGTTTGATACTCTCAAAATGTCACACTCAACAAAAAGATACTTAGACTTTCAACCGTGGAGCTATTGCAGTGGGTGTGTTTTTGAGTCCAATTCGTTGGTGGTACTTAATCTTTCCTGGAATCAATAAATATGTATCAGCGTTTTTTTTTGTAATTAGGTATTTAATCTTATCCTTTAGCATAGAATGCAGTGCTGGGTATTAATAATGGGAGTGATGTAGAAGAGTACTCAGACAGTTTTCCCATTGACTAAGTCGTTGATAAGCCATTCTTTTAGCTTGAATGTGGGGTGCTTTGAGTTTCAATAATGTTCACTCCTTCAGATATAAGGCAAACAGTGAGACCAAAGTAACTCAAAACTAAATGCCAGATTTCTTCAAAAGAATTTTCTTCACTTTTTTAAATGTCCTGGTTTTATTTTTCAACCTACTTACAGTTTAACATTTTTGAAATCAAACAAAGCTTTCAGGGTCATTGTTCAGATAGTGTGCTCACCAGTGTAAGAGCTGGAGTCTTCTGTTCCCATTGGCAGCATTAAATGTGATGCTGAATTTTTGTTACATTTATTTCTCTAGAACAATGGTTCAAGTTAGGTCCATTAAACACCACTTTACAGGCTTTGTGGCAATTGGTGCTTTGGTTTAATCCAGCTGTACATGTTTTAATTCTACATATCAGTTCAAGTGTAACACCCCATGGCGAGTGAAATGAAATGAAAATTTCTTGGCCTGCAGTTCAGCTTCATTTTATAGCAAGTGTTTATTCCTGGCTCCTGTTGTTAAACTAAAAGCAATACACTTAATCTTCAGTGTCAAACTGTACGTTATACTGTAAATTAAATGTGAACTAATCTCATTGTGTCGCCTGATATCTATACTTGATACAACACTTTTATTCACCCTGATGCAATTTATGATCTCGATTGCAGCAATCAACAAATCATATAGAATGCTGAATTGTGTAATCGTCAAAGTGGAACATAAATCAGAGGAAATGGAGTACTTCATGGTGCTTTTTGTCTAAGGGAATGGTTGTGAAAGCATTAATGCTAAAGTACATTGTGGAACCTTGAACATAGAACAGTGCAGCACAGGAACACACCCTTTGGCCCACAATGTTGTGCCGATCATGACACCAAATTAAATTAATCCCTTCTGCCTGCCCTTGGTGCATATCCCTCCATCCCTTACATATGCATGTGGTTATCTGAAAGTCCCAATAATGGCCTTATATCTACCTTCACCACCACCCCTAGCAATGTATTCTAGACTCCTACCACTCTCTGTGTAAAAAAACTTGCCCCTCATATCTCCACTGAACTTGCCCCCTCTCACCTTAAATGCACACCTCCTAATATTAGATATTTCAACTCTGGGAAAAGGATTCTGACCGTCAACCCTATCTATGCATCTCACAATTTTATGGATTTCTATCAAGTCTTCCCTCAGCCTGCGCTGCTCCAGAGAAAACAACGCAAGCTTTTCTAGCCTCTCTTTATAGCTCAACCCTCTAATCCAGGCAGCATCCTGGTAAACCTTTTGTGCACCCTCTCCAAAGCCTCCACACCCTTTCTGTAATGTGGTGACCAGAATTGAACACAATACTGTGTGTGGCCTAACCAAAGTCTTATAAAGCTGTAACATGACATCCCGACTCGTCTACTCAATTCCCCGACAGATAAAGGCAAGTATGCCATGCGCTTTCTTTACCACCCTATCTACTTGGGTGACAACTTTCAGGGAGCTATGGACTTAAACCCCAAGATCCCTCTGTATGTCAATGCTCTTCAGAGTCCTGCAATTAACTGTATACTTTTCCTTAACATTTGAACTCCCAAAGTGCAGCACCTCACACTTACCCAGATTAAACACCATCTGCCATTTTTCTACCTATATCTGATCTATATCCCACTGTATCCTTTGACAACCTTCTACACGATCCACAACTCCATTAATCCTTGCATCGACTGCAAACTTACTAACCCACCCGTCTACATTTTCATTTAAGTCATTTATAAATATTACAAACAGCAGAGGTCCCAGTACTGATCCCTGCAGAACACCACTAGTCACGGACCTCCAGCCTGAAATACACCCTTCCACCCATACCCTTTGCCTTCTACGGACAAGACAATTCTGAATCCACGTGACCAAGTCTCCATGGATCCCATGCATCTTAACCTTCTGGATGAGCCTAACATGAGGGACCTTGTCAAAAGCCTTACTAAAATCCATGTAAACAACATCCACTGCTCTACCCTCATTAATCACCTTCGTCACCTCCTAAAAACATTCAATTGGGTTAGTAAGACATGACCTGTCTTGAACAAAGCCATCCTGACTGTCCCTAATTAGGCCATGCTTTTCCAAATGTGCGTAAATTCTATCCCTAAGAATTCTCTCCAATATCTTCCCAACCACCGTGTGAGACTCACTGGTCTGTCATTTCCTGGATTATCCCTATTTCCCTTCTTGAACAGAGGAACAACATTAGCTACTCGCCAGTTCTTCAGGAACTCTGCAGTGGCTGATCAGGATCCAAAGGTCTTGGTCAAGGCCCTAACAATCTCCTTTCTTACCTCTCTCAATAACCTGGCTAGATACCATTGAGCCCTGGGACTTACCCACCCTAATGCTCTTCAAGAGAACCAACACCACTTCTTTCTTGATCTCAAAATGCCTGAGCATTTTGAATTTTGTAATGCATATTAGCATGCTCCACAAAAATCTCACTGTCCTCCATATCCTTCTCCTGGGTACATACCAACACAAAGTACTCATTTAGGATCTTGCCCACATCCTCTGCCTCCAAGCAGAAGTTTCCTTCTTAATCTTTGAGTGGTCCTACCTTCTCCCTAGTTATCCTTTTGTTCTTAATATATCTATAGAATTCTTTGGGATTCTCTTTAACTGTACTTGCCAAGGTAATTTCATGGCCCCTTCTTGCACTCCTAATTCCCTGCTTGAGTTCTTTCCTGCTTTCTTTATATTCCTCATGGGCCCTGGCTGATTGTAGCTTCACAAACCTTACGTATGCTTCTTTTTCCCTTTGGACTAAATTCATAACCTCCCTCGTTATCCAAGAGTCCCTTACCTTGCCATCCTTATTCTTCCTCCTTACTGGAACATGCCGGTCTTGAACTCTCATCAGCAGGTTTTCAAACAATTCCCACATGTCAAATGTGGACTTTCCTGATAACAGCTCCTCCCAATTAACACTCCCTAGCTCCTGCCTAATAGTGATGTAATTTTTCCCTCTCCCAGTTTAGTACCTTGCCACAAAACTTATCCTTATTCACAGCTATCTTAAAACTTAAGGAGTTGGGATCACTGTTTCCAAATGCTGAAAGGTCAGTCACCTGGCCAGGCTCATTAGCCAATACAAGGTCCAGTAAGGCCCCTCCTCTAGTTGGTCTATCCACATGCTGTTTCAAGAAACCTTCTTGGATGCACTTAACCAATGCTGTCCCTTCTAAGGCTCTTGCTGTTAGGCAGTCCCAGTCAATATTGGAGAAGCTAATGTCACTCACAATGACAACCCTGCTATTTCATCTTTTTATAATCTGCCTACATATTTGTTCCTCAATGTCTCGGTGGCTGTTGGGGGGGCCTACAGTATAATCCTATCAGAGTGATTGCCCCCATTTTAATTTTGAACTGTACCCATATTGCCTCAGCAGATTACAAACAGTGTTAAGATGTTACAGATCTAAAACCGCATTAAAGGAAAAAGAAAAAAAACAAACCAAAGTAGAAGGAGAAATGATACTCTGAAAGCAATTAATGCTAGGGATGAGCCAACAGAATCTACGATTGAATATTTTGGAGGAAACAATTCTTGAGATGTGAAATTGCTCCAATGCTAAATGCTAAATCTGAAGCTGAACAAGTTAATATATTGTTGTAGTTAGCCGGTCCTGTAGTGGATGGCATGATATGTCACCAAAATACAAAAGAAGGCACAGTTACTTTTGAAGAAGTTCGAATAGCATTGGATTATTTTAATCTGAAAACAAACAAAAGCGTTGACTGGCCAATATTTAACTTTAGCTTCTAGTGGAACCTATTGATAATTTCATGAATGAGCTCTGTTGATTAGTGTAGCACTGTGACTGTGGATGTTTGAAATTAGACTTCAGAAGAAGCAGAATTGTTGTTTGAATTATTAATGAGTCTATATAAGATTTCTTACTGTTCAATGAAGATTTAGCTTTGGAGAATGGTACTCTGGTTGTGCTGGAAGCAAAAAGCAGAAAGCCATTCAGACAGATTCTGAATGGACAAGTACACTCCTGTCTCAGGAGAGCAACAGAATGTATTCACTTTATAAAGTTGCAGAATGCAGGAACTACCAACAGAGCACATTGAGGGAGGAAAGATTAAACACAAGGTAGGAACCACGAGCAGAGAAAGCAGTTTAAACAGAGAGTGAAAATCTCCAGCACAGCTTATTTGGATAGAGTGGTTTAGAGAGAGAGCGGCTTAGAGAGAGAGCAGGAAGCACGAGCAGAGAGACAGCAACAGAGCGGATGGGA